CTCCCCCCCCTTCCCCGCCCCTGGTGCGGCTCCGCTCTCCCGTCCTTCCCCTTGCTCCTCTTCCTGCCTGCCCTCGTCGCCGCGTGCGGGCCCGGCTTCCTCTCTCCTGCGGGGCGCCTCAGGCAGGCTTTCGCCGAGTCCCGTCCCGCGCGTCTCTCCTCTGCCTTTTCCCTTCTCCCCCGCCTGGCTTCCTCGGATCCTAGGGCCCGGGGGTCACTGGTGCGGTCGCCTGAGCGGTGGCACCCTCCTGGCGGCGAGAGGCATGAGCATGCCTGCGCACTAGCTCCCGCCACTTGGCGTGCCCCGTTGCCTGCGTACTGGCGCCGCTATTTGGCGTGAGTTGCGGCACATCACATTCTGTCCTTTCTCGCTGTCGCCTTCCCCGCGCCCCCCCGCCTTCCTGTCCGCCCCCCTCTCCCCCCCCTCCTTGCCTCTTGCTCCTGCTCCTGTCTACTTGCAGCGAGGCATGCCGTGCGTTGTGTGGTTGTTGCGTCTGGCTTCTGGCCCCTGGGGGCCTTGGCGCGCATGGCACGCCTGGTGCCGCGTGGCTGGTGCGGCCGGCTTTTGGCCGGTGCTGGACCTCCGTCGGTCGCGCGGTGGCGTCTGGGTGGTGCTCGGCGTGGGGGCCCGAACGGTCTCTCTCTTCTTCTCTGATTGTGCCCGGGAGGGCCGCGGGTCTGGAGTGATGCGTGATTTTGGCCGGGGCCTTTGCCGAAGAGGAGGGTGTCCTGGTTGCCCTGTGCGGCCGAGACAAACCCCGTGATGCGGGCCGCTGATGCGCAGAGATGGGGGTGGCGCCTGAGAGTTCCGTGTCTTCTTCTTCCTCCTCCTTGCCTCGCCTCTTGCTGCTGCTCCTGCCTGCTCGCAGCGTGGCACGCCGTGCGTGGCTTGGTTGTCGTGTCGGGCTCCTGGGCTCCTGGGGTCCCCTTCTCAGCGTGGCACGCTCGGTGCTGCTTGGTTATCGCGGGGGGGGGTTTGCCCCGCGCTGGGCCTCTGGCGGTCGGCTTGGGCTGCTTGGCTGTCGTGCCCCTCTTCCTCCCGTGTCGCTGCGTGCCACAGGGGCGAAGGGTTCTGGGGGCTACAGCAGCGAAGGCTTTTGGGGGCTACAGCAGCGAAGGGTTTGGGGGGCTACAGGAGCGAAGGGTTTGGGGGGCTTCAGATACCGCCCAAAGGTGCGTCCTAGGGGGGGCTCAAGAGGGGGGCTCGCAAACCATGGCTCTCGATGCGCGTGCGCGGCTTCGAGGGGCCAAGCGACGTGCTTTCGAACACTTTCTCCGTCGGCGTCGAGGCAGGGCTGGCTGCACCAGCGCCAGAGCTGAACGGGGGCACCGAAAATCGAATCGGCCAGCGTGCAGGAGCGGGAACGACGCGCTCAAACACGAGCAGAAGGCCATGACATTCGGGGAGAGATGTCATGGCCCAGGCCGTGATATCCACCCTCACCAGTCTCAGGTCGGGCATGCCCTCACGCTAGTCATCACCCCCCCCTCGTGGTCGCTCCCGAGAGGAGGCGCAGACGCCCATCCCGTGCCCCGCGCCGGCCCGGCCAAGGCCTGTGCTGGTGCACAGCCGGCGTCCCTTCAGACGCGACGCCCAGCACTCTCAACCTGCTTGGACGCAGAACGATGCAGCATACCGACACCGACATACAGTCGGGGCGTTGACCTAAGGAACCCTAAATAAGGAACGAGGCCCCTTTTTTCCATGAGTTAAACTTCGATTTCCTATCGAGAGCATAAGGAAAACCTGAGCCAAGCTGTGAAACACTTAAGGAACGCGGAGCCCCTCCCCAACGAAAAGGGTTCCTTCTTCAGGGCCCCGACTGTACTTGGACGCAGAACGATGCAGCATACCGACACCGACATACTCCCTGGACCTCTCCCGGTATGCTGTTCGACAGGGGTCCCGAAGGGGGAAACCATCACCTTGGCTGCGGTGGCTCCCCAACAGGCCCCCCAAAGCAGAACTACTGTGGGACGGGTGCCGGTATTGGTGTGTTTCCACCTCTGAGAATGGCAAGATCAACCAACATCGAACCTGGAAATCTGATCCAATCGAAGTGTGCGTTGGATCGGCACGCAATCGGAATCGGATCTGATCGGCCGCGCCAACATGTACAACAACGCCACGCGAACTTCGAGCCGCATCGCACAGCCATTGATCCTGGAACCGAGTGAGATCGGGCCAGGCAAGAGTCGATTCTCGAATCGGAGCGATCCGAAATGGACCCTGTGAGAATGGGCGAACACCCGGACGGTGGGAAAACCAAAAAATACCGATGCCGCTGCTCCCTGGACCTCTCTCGGGGTGCATTCCGACCAGAATTTCGAAGAGCATTCAGCCTTGGCGACGAGGGCCTCCCAAGAGGCCACAGAGGGCGAAAGCGAGGGAAAGGCGTCGGCATTGGGGGAACCAAAAAGTACTGATACCGCTACCCCCTGGACCTCTTTCCAGGTGCGGTCGGACCAAGATTTCGAGGCGCATCCAGGGCTGGCGACGAAGGCCTCCCAGGAGGCCCCAAAAAACGAAAACGAGGGAAGGGTAGCGGTATAGGTGCCTTTTCCTCCTCTGAGGTATCGGTACCCCTCCCTGTACTGAAGGCAAGGCAAGGAGGTCTGCACGCCAGCTCCGGTGCCAGAGCGGTCCCCTGGAACGCAGACGGAGAATCTCGCTCAGTATCGGCCAGACGCCGTGTGGGCAATCTGTCCTCCACCCACAGGCGAAGAGGAAGCCCAGAACCCCCCTCCCAAAAAAGCTCGCACAACGCTGCCGCAGCCAGGGCCCACCGGCGCCACCGCGAGCGTGTTCCGAGGCGGCGGGGGGCCGGGCGACGCCGTCTCCTGCGGGCGCCGTCCCTCTCCTCTCTTCGGGGGGTGTCGTGCAGTCAAGACGCTGACAGAAGGAACCCTAAGTAAGGAACGAGGCCCCTCTTTTCCATAAGTCAAGCTTCGACCTCCCATGGGGTACCAGAAGAAAACGTGAAAAAACACTCTAGGCAACTTAAAGAATATTGAGTTCCTTTCCATTGAGAAGGGTTCTTTTTTTTCGGCGGCCCGACTGTACCAACGGGGGTCGGCCGCGGCGGAGCGCACAACGCCTACTGTTAGGTCGGGCATGTCCTCCGACCGGCGGATTTGGAAGACAAGCAAAGCGTACTCAAGACATACGCACGAATAGTCATGAGAGCACGACAAATCGTCACCCAACTACTTCTAAATTATGCTTGAAATAGACGAAGGAAAAGCGCCATAAACATAAATGTTTGGCGCCCCGCGCGAATTTCTGGGATCTGCGCTGGACCCCCTCCGTGGCTCGCGAAGCGCGCCAGCGCCAGCGCTGGAGGCGCCGCTGGGGTGGTGGTGGTGGTGGTGGTGGGGGGGGCACAGCGCGGATCCAAGAAATCCGCGCGGAGCGCCAAATGCTTACGCTTATGGCGTTTATTTGTTTCCCCCCCCGATGAATCTTCCTCCTGTAGGGGGGCATGCCCGACTGCAGCCTGCTGCAGTGCTGCGTGCAGATGGACACGCGGCCCACTGGTTGGAGCGGCTGGCCGCATATCGGCGGGGGTCCCTGGCTCCACTGCGAGATCGCTGGGTGTGCCTGCCCTCCCTGAGGCGCAGAGTGGACAATGTCTTGAGAACGAGGGGGGGCCTCCTCCTCCTCCTCCACCTCCTCCTCCTCCTCCTCGGTAGTGGGTCAGCTCGCGCAGCTGATTTTCCCGCACTTCCCGTCGCCAGAAGCGCCCATGCATCGAGGGAGGTGCCCATGAGGGCCGCGGGGCCGAAACGGGCTCCGTGCAGTGGAAGGGCAATCGATGCAGGACGGATTTGACGGCCCCGTGGCCCCCATGAGCTGCGCGCCGAGGAGCTCGGCCCACCGAGGGCGCCTGGGCAGTCCAGGAGGCCAGGGGGGGGCCCGAGGGCTGACAATTCGGAGTGGCGGAGGTGGCGAATCGGACTGGTCAGAGGCACCCCGCGGCGACCTCGGGCCTTCCCAGGGCGACCCCAGGCGCCCCCCGAAGCGCTCGGCGTCGCCCAGCCGAAGGCCGACAGTCCCGCCTCCCTCCTCCTGTGCTCCCTCCGCAGTTCGTCCAGAGGCGCCCAGGGTGCTGGCGCGCACCCCTGCCGTGCGGGCCTGCTCTGATGAGGCGCGGCGAAGCCAAGGGGCGGCGCGGCGCGCCTCCCTGAAATGCGGCACAGATCCAAGGCCCGGGCTCGGCGTCCTCAGCTCGGTGCGCGGTGCGCGGGGGACCACGTCCAGGAACACGAATGAGAGGAGCGCAGTGGGATGAGAGCGGAATGGAAGACCGGGTGGTGCAGAGGAGTGGGCTGGGAGGGGTGAGAGGCGTAGGGAGGAGTGCGATGCAGGAAAGGAATGGGCAGAAGAGCAGGGTGGAGTGCGGATGAGGAGAAAAGGAGGGTGCAGGACTGGGACGAAGAGTGGAATGGACACGATAATCATAAAGGGCTGGAGTACTGAGGAAGGAGAGGAATGGGAGGAGTGTGTGGCGTGGTGCGTGGGAGCGGGGAGGACTACCGGAGCGGAGTTTTGAGCCCCACGCTCTCTGTCCAATGATGAAGCTCCGCGGCTGCAGGTGGCGCAGCGCAGGCTGAGCTGGAGGGGATATAGCCCCACCGGCGACTCCTGGAGGCCCCGAGAGGAGCGCCGAGGGAGATTTAACAAAAACGGGAGGGAAGACATGCCCACGTCGGAAGACAGAGCGGGCCTTCTCCCCCAGAGGCTACCACCGCACGCGGTGCAGCTTGGTTAGAGGTGCACAAAGGGTCCCGAGAGGGGAGGGCGCCTGTGCCGAGACACTTGGGCGGGTCGCCCCTCTCAGGTCCACCTGGTGTCAGAGCCCATGTGGAGCCAGAACACCTCCCTCCACTCCTCTGTTCCTCCCCTGCTCTTCCCCTTTCTTCCACCTCCCACATCCACTCCTTCTCTGCGTTGTTCGGGAGCCCACAAAAGACGTACGCGCCTAACCATGTACACGAACGCGGCTCCCCAATCCGCGAGACAGGCCGCGTGATACGAACGTTCGCGCAATGCGTACTCTCGAAACCGACGTGGATTTATGTACGTGTACGTCCTTCTTTCGCTCCTGAGTTGTGGAAGAAAAACCTTTTCCACCGCAAACGCTCCAGCAACACACCGCACGCCACGCTGAATCCCTCCGAGCCCGCTGCACATTTACTGCGGACTGACAGCTTGCTGCCTATCCGCGGCGCCGTCCGTCAGCTCGAAGAGAAGCAGCAGACAATGACAAATATGTACACGTGCTGCGCGCCAACTATCCTATTTCCTCGCGATTAAGTCACGGGTCCCCACAAAAGAAATTTTTAGAATCTGCCTGGGGAGGGGCCTTGACTGACAGAGGGTGCCGTGCAACAGAGGGTTCCCGTGCAAGGGGAGGGGCACGTCTAGCACCAAAAATCTGTTCAAATCAACTAGGGTAAGACTCCTGCCTGCCTAATCGAAGGTGCCGTGCAGGAGGAGGGTCACGTCTAGTGCCACACGGATTGAACCATCAACTTGGGGAAATGCTTCCTTAGCAAAGAAAGGCGCCGTGCAGCAGAGGGGGCCGGCAAAGGAGGGGCACGTCTAGGGGGAGGGGCCTTGATTCTGCGCAAAGGGGGCCTGTGAAGGGTGAGGGGCACGTCTAGTAGCAAGGAATTGCTATCAATCAGCTTGGGGAGGTGCCTGGTCTGATATAGGGTGCTGTGCAGCGAGAGGGGCACGCCTAGTACCAACAAGGCTTTTGGAATCAGCCTGGGGAAAGGCTTGCCCAGCAGAGGATGCTGCGAGGCAAAAGGTGCCTGTGCTGAGGGGGGGCGGCACGTCTAATAACAATGAATGTTTCGTATTAGCTTGGGGAGTGGCCGTGTCTAAGCGGGTGCCGCGCAGGAGGAGCACGCCTAGCACTAATGCTTTGGTTTAATCAGCTTGGAGAGGGGTCTTGTCTAAGAAAGGGAATCCTGGCCCCTATGCAGGGGGAAGGGTATGCCTAGCACAAGTTGTTCACACATCAGCTTTGGGAGACGCCTTGTTCACTGAAGAATGCTGTGCAGGAGGGGCACGTCTAGTATGGAATGAGGTTTTCGAATCAGGTGAGGGGCCTTGTCTAATAGAGTGTCCTGCCTAACAGAGGGGGCACGCGAAGGAGGAGGGGCACGTCTAGCATCAAATAATTTTTATCAATCAACCTGGGGAGCGGCCTGGTCCCATAGACGGTGCTGTGCAGGAGGAGGGTCACGCCTGATATCAAATGGCTTTTTGAATCAGCTTGGGGAGGGGCTTGCCTAGCAGAGGGTGCTGTGCAACCGAGAGGGTCGGTGTAGAAGGAGGGACACGTCTAGAACCAAGAGCGTTGCTGAATTAGATTAAGCAGGAACCCTGTCTAATGGAGGGTGCTGCCCAACAGAGGGGGCACGCGAAGGGGGAGGGGCACGTCCAGCACCAAGACAATCTTCAATCTCAGCTCGGGGAATGGGCCATCTTGAGTAGAGGGGGCTGCACAACAGAAGGTTCTGCGCAGCAGGAGGGGCATCTCGAGTATCAACGGAGCTTTTGAACTCGGCTTGGGAATGGGCTCGCGTATTAGGGGGCTCCGCGCAGCAGAGGGGGCCTGCGTAGGAGGAGGGGCACGTCTAGCACCAATGGGTTGAAACACATCAGCTCGGGGAGGTGCCTTGCCTAACATATGATTTTGCGCAGGCGGAGGGGCACGTCGGCTTGGCAAAAAACACTCTCTACTAGAGAGCGCTGCGCAACAGGTGGGGCCGGTGGAAAGGGAGGGGCACGTCCAACACCAATGATTCTTTTGTTTTAGCTTGGGGAAGGTGCCGAGCAAGAGGAAAAGCACGCCTAGTACCAAACGGCTTTTTGAACCAGATTGGGGAGGGGCTTGCCTAGCAGAGGGTGCTGCCCAACAGAAAGCGTCGGTGTAGAAGCATGGGGACGCCTGGCACCAGTGCTGCTGCTTCCTCCGCCTGGAGATTGGATTTCTGTTTCATGGGGAGGCATATCGTCTACTCGAGGGTGCTGCGCAAGGGGCCTGTGCATGGGGGAATGGCACTGCAAGCTAACACCGAGGAGCTTTCCGAATTCAGCCTGGGGAGGGGCAGAGAAGGGGAAAGCTTTCTGAATCGGTTTGGCGAGGGGCTTGCCTGGCAGAGAGCGCTGCGCAGTACATGGGGGCTCACGCGGGAGGAGAGGCGCGTCCGGCACCGAAGAGTGGTTCGTGGTCAGCTCGGGAAGGAGCCTGGTCTGATACAGAGAGTGCCGCGCAGGGGGATGGGCACGTCTAGTGCAGCATACATTCTCAATCATATTCGGGATGGGGCTCGCCTAGCTGAGGGCACGCGCAATAGATGGGGCCTGCGCAGGAGAAGAAGGGAATCCAGCATCCGTGAGTTGGTTTTATCAGCTCTGGGATGGGGCCTGGCCTGACAGAGGGTGTTGCGCAGGAGTGGGGGGTACGTCTAGCACCAAGGAGTTGCTTTGGTCAGCTTCAGTGGCCCTGTCTACTTAAGGGCACTGCGCAGCAGAGGGAGGGACCTGCGAAGGCGGGGGGCACCTCGGCACGTCTGGCACCTCGAGGATTTGTTTGTGGTCACCTTGCGTCGAGGCCTGGTCTAACACAGGGCGCTGTGTAGGAGGAGGGGCACGTCTAGTACTAGATTGCTTCTTTTTTTGAATCAACTTTGGTAGAGGCCTGCCCAACAGAAACTGCGATGCAACAGAAGAGGCTGAGGCTGGAGTGAATCAACTCGGGGAGGGGCCGTCTGTTGGAAAGTGCCGCGAAATAGAAGGGCGTGCAGCGGGAGGGGCACGCCCAACACCAAAGATTCTTTGTTGTTTTTGCTTTTTTCCCCCCCTCCGCTTGGGGAGATGCCTGGTCTACTTGAAGGTGCTTTGCAAGAGGATGGGCACGTCTGCCATCAACTGAGCTCGGGAACTGTCTAGCAGAATGAGCTGCACGACAGAGGGGGTGCTGTGCCGCAGGAAAGGAATTTCCAGCACCACAGAGCTTGTTGTATCAGCCCGGGGGACGGCCTTGTCCGGTAGAGGGTGCCGCGCATGCGACGGGCACGTCTAGCACCAAGGAGGTGCCGTAGTCGGCCTGGGGAGGGGCCTTGTCGAAGAGGGGGCGCTGTGCAACAGAGGGGGGGCCGTGCAAGATGAGGGGCACATCGAGAACCAATGAGTTGCTCTTTGATCCGTTTTTTGCGTCCGAGCACCCTTTTGGGCCCCCGAGCCAGGAAGCGACCACTGGACGCTCGGTCCCACGAGCACCGGCGGGACACGTGCGTGCCCGTCAGCCTGGCGCGGACGACACATTTTGCAAGTGCTCCAACCCGCAGAGGGTCGCGCAAACGATTTCACAGTGTTGCAGCGACGAAGACGAAAACACCATGCAACATCACCGCGAAGGCCCTGCCGACCAGTGAAGAGGGTTGGTGAGAGGCTGAGAGGGGGCCTTTGTGCAACAGAGGGGGCCTGTGCAGGAGGATGGGCTTGCTATCGAGCCAGGGCATGTCTAGCATCAGCTTGGGGGGGGGGGCTCGCGCAGCAGAGAGGGCTGTGCAGCACAGGATGCGGGCCTGTGCAGACGGGGTGGCACGTCTGCCACCAGACTGCCAAGCCACCAGACTGCCAGGCCTCTTCGGGAACTGCCAGAGTCAGGATGCTGTCTGGGTGCTGACAGGGCTCGCCCCTAGGACATGACCTGTTTGTGAAGGCATGCATGATGACTCTGAAGCGAACCTGGAAAGAAATATGGCAGATTTCGAGACAGCCGAGTGGCACCCAATCCCGCGAGAGACTGGGCGCCATCAAGAATGTGGGCGTTCGCACATTCACCTAATCCTTATCATCTTACTCCAACCTCCTTTCTATCTGCTCATCATCCCCCTCACTCTCGTACTCGCCTTATCTGAAAATTTACCTCGGGGGGTCTTGTTCCCAAACAGGAGGACTATTCAATCAACACCAAAACCAAAACCAAAATAACACAATGACCTGTGAATCTTTCTCGAAACCAAAACCACAGCCGGAACCGTGGCGGGAGAAATCTTCTTCCAAACCGGGAAACAATAATCAACAGCGATAACCACAACCAACACTGGAACCGTGAGCTGGGGCGCCTTCTTCCAAACCAAGAAGAAAAACGACAAAAGCCAAACCAGAACAAGGACTGGAACCGTGTCCTGGGAAATCTTCTTCGAGGCCAAAAACCACGAGCAACTGGAACCATAACTCAAACCGAAACCGAAACCGTGACCTGGGGGGCCTTCTTCCAAACCGCAAAAATCAAACCAACAGGAGACAACTGATTACCCCAGTGCGACCCTACCTAGAAGTTGGAGCCCCTAGGAAAGCAGCATTAGTTGCTATGCTGTGCTATGCTATGCTATGCTGCGCTCTGCTATGCTGTGCTGTGCTGTGCTGCGCTATGCTATATTAAGCTATGCTATGCTATGCTGCGCTATGCTATGCTATGCTGGGCTATGCTATGATATGCTATGCTGCGCTATGCTATGCTACGCTATGCTATGCTGTGCTCTGCTATGTTTACCTGAGCTAAGATGAAGCTAAGCTAAGCTACGATGAAATAAGCTAAGCTAAGATGAGATAAGCAACGCTAAGCTAAGGGGACGTAACTGGGGAACTGCGGGGCGGATCCTGGGGGAACCGCCCGGGCCGGTTCCCACTGTCCGGCCCCTTTAAACACAGAGAGTAAGAACCCTTCTAGGCAGAGCCTAGGTAGGGAAAATTCGGAACCAAAACCGTGAAGTGGTAACTGCTCTTCGAAATTACCCCAGTGCGACCCTACCTAGAAGTTGGAGCCCCTAGGAAAGCAGCATTAATTGCTATGCTATGCTATGCTATGCTGCGCTGTGCTATGCTGTGCTGTGCTGTGCTGCGCTATGCTATGCTATGCTATGCTATGCTATGCTATGCTGCGCTATGCTATGCTATGCTGGGCTATGCTATGATATGCTATGCTGCGCTATGCTATGCTACGCTATGCTATGCTGTGCTCCGCTATGCTAAAGCTCAGCGAAGCTAAGATGAAGGTAAGCTAAGCTAAGATACACCTGAGCTAAGATGAAGCTAAGCCAAGCTACGATGAAATAAGCTAAACTAAGATGAGATAAGCAACGCTAAGCTATGGGGACGTAGCTGGGGGAACCGCGGGGCGGATCCTGGGGGAACCGCCCGGGCCGGTTCCCACTGCCCGGCCCCTTTAAACACAGAGAGTAAGAACCCTTCTAGACAGAGCCTAGGTAGGGAACAGAAAAGAAAGCCCGATCCGCACTCAAAACTGGAACGGCGACATGGGACGCCTTCTTCCAGGCCGTAAGAAAAAACCCACACTGAAGCATAACCAGAGCCGTGACCTGGGAACCTCCAGGTG